GCCTTTTGGGGTCAGGTTGTCATACTTAAAAGTCTGCTTAGGGAGGTTCATCTGTTTCAGACTTGTAAATAGAACAGATTTTTTGCATAATCATCCTCAAATATATCAGAGTGTTTCAGATTTAACTTAAATCAGAACTTCCCTCTTTCCCCCCTTTGAAAAGAAAGAACGCGTCAGAATCAGAGGCTGAGGCTGGCCCACCTCATGTTGAGATTGTCCGGGTCGGTGCATTGTGCTTTGCAAGAGCAGACACTGCGGCTCTGGAAGCCAGATCCACACCCACCTGGACAGAAGTCCTGCCAGTCCCGCCTTTGGGGCTGTGCCCCGCGGGGGTGGAGTAACAAGCAAGCCATTGTCAGGGGGTTCGTTATCACCTGTTGCATCGCCCCAGGTCCGGGTTCCTCCTCTGTCACCACCCTCCTGGCAGTTCAGCAGGTGAGGGGAGTCCCTGGAGGACCCGGGCCAGCGGCGCAGGAGGCCCGGCAAGCCCCGACCGCTCGCACCACCTGCTGGCCGAAGGCTTTTAAGACCAGCCTTTGAAAGCGCGTCTCTTTTACCTACAGCTCAAACAGGCTACCCCGGGTGCAAGGGCAGGACAGGACACAGTGCAGGTTTTCTGATCCCATGCAGACTGGGTAAAGGAGCAGTCAGAGTCCTCAGTGGCTTTTTGCAGGTCTTTTATTGGGGTTCACCAGGCATATGGCAGGCAGGGGTGCTGGTGGGGAGCCTCCCAGCCTGCCAGCCTCCCAGCCCCCAACAAGTCTTCACTCTATCTGGGCTCTCTGGCGTTCATTCTGCTGCTTCTCGGCTTCTCTTTCGGCTTCTGCTTCGGCTTCTCTCTGAGCTTCTACTGGCGTCCCCGTGACGCCGCCCTTAAAAGCACAGTCTTAGCCCAGGTGTCCCCACTCCAGGTGCCGCCATCAGGCATGCATTCAGGACCGCAGGGTTCCCTCATCTATCCTGATGGCGGGAGGGCAGAAAAGCCTGATATTTTTCCTTACCCTACACCGGGCTTCCAAGCCCCCGTGGACTGACAAATCACTCAGGGTCAACGTTTCACCTCCCTTCATTCTTTTTTTTTTTTTCACATTTTATTTAAATTTTATTTTTTATATTCCCCATACAATTGCAACCCCCTTATTCTGACCCCAATCCCTCCCCTCCCCGCCCCCCCCCCCCCCATAGAGTGTCTCTAGTTCATAGTTGTTTGTTGATTTTGATTTTCACTTTCTTATAGTTATTCTTTTTCCTGGTCCCTTATTTAAGTTTTCTAGATTCCTGCTATGAGTGAGACCATCCGGTATTTTTCTTTTTCTTTCTGGTTCATTTCGCTGAGCATGATCCCTTCCAGCGCCATCCATGTTGCTGCAAATGGCATGTGTTTATCTTTTTTGAATGCTGAGTAATATTCCATGGTGTATATGGACCACATCTTCTTGATCCAGTCATCTATTTTTGGGCATTTGGGCTGTTTCCAAAGCTTAGCTATTGTAAATAGTGCTGTGTAGGGTAAGGAAAAATGTCAGGCTTTTCTGCCCTCCCACCATCAGGATAGATGATGGATCCTTGCGGTCCTGAGTGCATGCCTGATGGCGGCACCTGGAGTAGGGTGTGGGCATAGGTAGATGGGATTCACCTGGGCTAAGACTGCGCTTTTAAGGGCGGCGTCACGGGGACGCCAAAAGAAGCCAAGAAGCCGAAAGAGAAGCCGAGAGAGAAGCAAGAGAAGCAGAAGCTGAGAGAAGGCCGGAGAGTCCAGATAGAATGAAGACTTGCTGGGGGCTGGGAGGCCTGCCAGCCTCCCGGCCCCCCAGCACCCCTGCCTGCTGTGTACCGGGTAAATCCCAATAAAAAGACCAGCAAAAAGCCACTAAGGACTCTGACTCCTCCTTTACCTGGTCTGCTGGATCATAGAAAACCTGCCCTGTGTCCATTCCTGCCTCTGCTTGCTGCTATAAATATAGGGGTGCAGGTGCTCTTTGGAATTGATGTTTCTGGGTCCTTTGGGTAAATACCTAGGAGGGGAATTGCTGGATCATATGGAAGCTCTATGTTTAGGTCCAGAAATCTCCACACAGCTCTCCATGGTGGTTGGACCAGTTTGCACTCCCACCAGCAGTGCAGGAGAGTTCCTTTTTCTCCTCCCTTCATTCTTATACCACGAAAGTGGCCACAGCCACGGTCTCCAGACTGGCAGGGGTGAGGCTGGGCTTGACTGGCACTGTGCACCTGGACCTTTTGCTCTGCCAACCCCGGTACGCGACTCCTGGCTCTGAATGGGGTCATCTTGCCTGCATCTTCATTTCCTCCTTCGAAAGCTGACATTTGGGCCTCCCTGGGGGCGCAGAGGGTTAAGCTCCACACTATGAAGCATTTCGCAGCCTCTGCACCCCCACCGGCCAGGGAGCAGCCAACCCACATGGCGCAGCAGACCTCTCCTGCCTCGCCGGGGGCTCCCCTCTGCAGTGTTTTCCATCAGTCTGCCTGTTCTGTTCCCCACTCTGTCTCTGGTGGATCCTCTAACCCCCCGTGCCTCCGGCCTGTACCCCAGCTCTTGTATGCATAAATAAATAAATCTTAAAAAAAAAAAAGAGCTGACATTCAGGCCTGTGTCCAGGAACTATTGTGAGAATTATGTGAAACGATGTTGGGGACGCAGAACGCCTGGCCTGTGACTGGCAGGCCGAGGTTCTCAGTCCACCTGGGATTTCTCCTCCTTTCTTCCTTCTGGTTCTAGGCCTGATTGTTATTTGTTTGTCCTCCCCTCCCCCCAATACCACGTAAACCTTTTTCACGAGCTTCTATTTGATTCACTTTGCTTGCAAGCAACAGCCCCATTCACACTAACTCAAGGAAAAGAGAAACGTATTTTCAGGATGCGACAGGCTCAGCCTCTCTTAGAACCTGGGGGTTTCAGGAATGGCCTGAGATCAGGTAAATGCCAGGAGGGAAGGGGGTTGTTTTTATTTTAGGCCACTCTATTACTGCTTCTCTTGAGAGTTGCTTGCTTTGCTCCCTGGCTACTCTCAGGCCCCCTCCACCCCCTGGAAGACGTGGGCTGGGGCATGACTGGCACAGTGACATCTCTGACCTTGCCCTGGTCCAGTCCAGCTGTTGCTCCCCTGATCCTCCAGCTGGAGCAGGTGAGGCCAACAGGGCATGTCCCTAATGTGTGTTGCAGCTGCAAACATAGGGGGAGGGGAGAGCAGGACAGCCAGAGAAAGAATTGCTGGGGGCCTTGCTGGTGTTGCAAGGGGTTAAGTCTCAGCACTATGAAGCTGTCCGCAGCCATTGCAGATGAGTTCATTCAACCTCTCCTGACTCCCCGCTGCTCCCCTCAGCAGTGGATTTCAGTATATTTGCCTGTTCTGCTCCCCACTCTGTCTCTGGTGAATCCTCTCACCCCCTGCACCTCTGGCCTACACCCCAGTTCTTGTATGCATAAACAAATACATCTTTTTTAAAAAAGAGATTTGCTGGGAGGAGGGTGCTGCACAGATCACCCAACGAGGGCCCCCGCGATCTTTTCATAAAAATGAGAAATGTTATTCCAATTAAGAGTCTTCCGGGGGAATTCCAAACTGTCAAGATGGGGTTTGGCTAGAGACAAAGAGGAAGAAGAAAGCATTGGCCTGTTGTTGGGTTACTTCTGTCTGACTCCATCCGGCATTGCCTGGAAGTGCTCCATGGTCCCTGGGCTGTTGAGCCCATTGGCGGGGTGCCGAGGCTGGCAGCCAGCAGGGACCGGAGTGTCTAAGGTATTCAGGAAACTTACTGAAAGCCTGAGACTGGTTTTAGAGCCAGACAAGAAGGCATTAACACATCTGAGGAGCGGTGCTGAGAATGGAAATAAGAACATGCTGGAGGCAGTTGGACAATGCAGAGAGGGCTGAAGAAGCTAAATGCAGTCTCGGGGGATGCCTGACTTCCCTCTGCAACACTGAGACTTCTGCCTGCTGCTGTTGGGAGCATCGAGAAGAAACATCTCGCAGATGTGATAAACCAGAAACAGCAGGGACACCTGTGTAGCCCCGTTCCCCCCCAATATGTGAAACCTTGAGTGTTAACCCACTTTACTGATTCCCGGTGGAAAGCAGATTACCCCTATTTTATTTCTGCAACACTGTTGTCAAGAGATCTGATGTGACCTTTGTGGCTAGAATCAAGTGAAGCCTTGCAGCTTCCCATTGTGAATTCCCTGCCAGAAACAGTACATTTGTAGTTTGTAAAATATTTAAAATGTTTTCCTTATGTACCTGTTGTATTTTTGTTGGACCATTATGTTTCTTTTTCATAGGATCCTAGAATCTCTGAGTCATCTTTCTAGAGAGGCCACCTGGACCCCCCCAGAGGCTGGGTGCAAAGTCAATCCTGCTGAAAGCAGCAAAGGTAGATATTTATCTGTTGTCACAGAGACTAGAAAAGGGGCTCGGGGAACATCTGATGAAGCACCCCGGCTTTGGCTCAGAGATGAGTGGGAGCAGGTTACGGAGACTCTATCTATACATCAGAGCAAAGTGCTGGTCTGGACAAAGTTGCTGAGGTGTGGAGAAGGCCAAAGAAGTGGCAGGTAAACTTGTAGACATTCTGGAAAGAACAGAGAATGCAAACCCCAGGGGGATCCCCTGATGGAGGAAATCCTAGCCCCATGAAAAAGGGGACACTGCTCCAAAGTCCTACCAGCTAACGAATTGCAAAGGTATAAGAACCAATTAAAAGGTACTCAAATATAATAAACAGGCTGAGCTTTAGAGCTGGATTGCAGAGCTAGGGACCAATCATCAACATTACAGAAGCAACAACATAGAGGCAGCAGAGAGAGACAAGAACTCTGCCTGAAACAGTATCATCTCAGGACAAACAGCTCCTTTGAACTGATTAGAAGCAAGTGAGCTATGGGCCCAGCCCTGGGTAAACAAGCCCTCTAGGTGATTCTGATGCAGCTACCAGAGTTACCCAATGCCCATAGAGCTGGTACACCCGACACCACGTTTTGAGAAAATGAAGGTTTATTGCAAATAGAGTAACAAGGAGGGAGGTAAAGTGAAATCTGCCTCCCCAATTAAGAAAGGGAATCAGGTTTTATAGGTTTGGGGGGCCAGGATTGAGAACAAAGGAGTTATATTTTCGCTGGCTAAGAAGAGGGCTAGAGGCAAAGACATGTGGACAGCGGTGAAGTTCTTTGTCTGGTTACAGGGCAGTTCGCGCATGGAGAAGGATGAAGAGGCTTTTTCCAGATAGCTGACTTTCTGGAGCTGGGTCCCTTGCCTCTGGGAAGCCCCCCTCCTCTGCATCTATGTCTCCCAATTCCAGCTGGCCTTGGAGCTCAGCTCAAGGTTAGGCCACAAGCTTCCAGGTTCTGCGGTGCCTGCAAAGGTGAGCCTCAAGGAATCATCTAGACAGGTTTTGTTGTTTCTTCTGTGTTCCAGGGTACGAGTGACCTCGCCATCTAGCCTGGGTCACAATGGCCTCCTTTAACATCTGAGAACCATTGCCAGGTTCTTTCTCTCAGGCAACAGGCCCAGCAGAATCGCTCACTCCATTCCAGAACTTGGAAATTCTACCAGACACCCCTCCATGAACAGGCACAGAATCAGACCACATCAGAATTTGTTCATTCATTCCGCAAATATTTATTAAGCATTAAGCATTGAGGCGGACATTCACCAGTTTTGCACGACTTTGTCACGCACCAGCTGGCCTTGAGGCTCGGTGGCATCTGGAGGCAGGAGAGCCAGGTACACGGGGGTCTCGGCTCCCTCCTCCACAGTCCTCTCTCCGTAAGGCCCCGCCATGTCCGTCTTCACCCACCCGGGGCAGCAAGCGTTCAGCAGGATCCGGTCTGCTTTTCTCTTCTCATCCAGACGCCGGGCCAGGATTCTCGATAAGACCGTGACCCCCAACTTGGACACCCCATAAGCTGAGCTGGGCCAGCCTTCCCTCTCATGCACTTCATTTTTGGCATCCTCCACAAACTTTTTCATGAGGTCCACCAGATCCTCCTCGGTGAGGGTCTCAGAGCGGAACTTCCCCTGCAGCTCTTCACTGCAGTTTTCAAGAGCTCTGGAGCCCTGCGAGCTGCTGATGTTCACCACCCGGCCTGAAACGGAACGAGAAGCACGTGGAAGCCTGTGATCCAGGAACGGCCATGGCTGATGACAGCAGACACGTGACTCAGACATGGTGCAGGCTGAATTGCTAATAATAAAGACAAGCAGGCACCAGTGGGTCTTGACATCTTTTCGCCACCTGCTTTTCCCTTGGAGGAAACACCTCCAGGAGCAATACTCTTCCATCCAAAGGGAAGATTACACTTCCAATCACTGGGCTAAAGAGCGGGGGTTGTCCCCTGGGCGAGGTAGTAAGTTGGTAGTAGGACCACCAGGTAGTTCCATGCTCCCCCAGCCCCCACACTTACTCTGGGTACTGGGGCACCTGCAATGACAGTGTGCTCATGCTGAGAATTCAAACCCTCTTTTGGTTTGCACCATTTCCCAGGGCAGGGCGCCACCACCTCTTTATCCCTGGGGGTCATGATCAAGGTTTAAGGTCAAGAAGTGCGGGGTGGGGGTTGCGGGGGATGACCCTCATCTACCCTTTGCCACAGCTACTTCCACACGTGGGTGGGTCGATTCTCCATCTGGTTTTGATGATCATCACTTTTTTAACCCACGGTCACTAACAATACATGAATATTCATTAAATACAATTAATGTGAGTTAATATTCATATTTTTAAAAAAGATTTATTTATTTATTTATACAAGCACTGGGTATAGTCAGAAGCACGGGAGGGTGAGAGAATTCACCAGAGCCAGAGCAGGCAGGACCGAAGTACACTGCTGAGGGGAGCAGCGGGCGGCAGGAGAGGTCTGCGCGCCATTTGGGACCCTCCTCCAGTGGCCAGGGAGCAGTCGGGGATCGAACCGGCGCTGCAGAGGCTGCGGGCAGCTTCGCAACCCAGTGCTCAACTGCTGCGCCACTGGGGAGGCCCTCATATTAATGAGTCATGGTTACTAGAGAGACAGCTTAGTCCATAAAAACAAATATGGAGGCCCCCAAACTAGAAGACAACTGGATGCATTGGTCGGAATCTTAAAACCAGGGAATGTGTGACTTTAGACATTTAGGGGTTTCTTTTCTGATATATTATTCTAAATCCACATCCTTTGCACCCAGTAGGACAAATGGATTTTTAAAAATTTCATTTTCTGGGCCTCCCTGGTGGTACAAGGGGTTAAGTGTCAGCACTATGAGGCTATCTGTAGCAGGCCAGACTTCGATCCCCAGCCAGGGAGCTGACCCATATGGCGCAGCAGACCTCTCCTATCTCCCTGATGCTCCCCTCAGCAGTGGATTTCAGTAGATCTGCCTGTTCTGCTCTCTACTCTGTCTCTGGTGAATCCTCTCACTCCCACACTTCTGGCCTGCATTCCAGTTCTTGTATGCATAAATAAATAAATCTTAAAAACAAAAAGTTTTTTAATAAGACTCTATACCTGTTTGTTATATAATAACAAATAATACCAGTAATAAATAAAAATGCAGCTTAAAAATGCATATATGCATCACCTAAATTCACCAATTATTAACATTTTGACATATTTGCTTTCTCTCTGTGTAAGGTGCAGGTGAGTCACAGAAAGACATCAGAAGCCGCACCCTACACTTCAGTAGCTGCAGAACCAAAGACATCCCTTACAGAGCTGCTATTCTCTGCAGAGGCTGTATTCCAATATCCCCAATTGGCTCGATCTTCCTGAGCTTTTGTTTTTCTCAAGCATCCAGCTTGGGATCAGGGAATGCAGAGGCTTGTCATGTCTCTTTAGTCTGTTTAAACCAAGAGTAGTGGACAATCATGTTTTCAAAGATTCAAAGCCACAGTTTTGTAGCATTTTCCCCAATTTAGATTGGCCCGATTTTCTCATGATTAGATTCACTTCAATATTTTGGCCAGGGCTACCCCATGCAGGTGGTTTTGAATTCTTCAGTCCTTTTTAAACAGTTTTGTTCTCAATTACTTGGCTGCTACAACAAATTATATTCAAAAGGGAAGAGAAGAAAAAGTTATGGGATCTACTTTATGCCTTCAGTGGAAATAAAAACCTCCTAAAGGGGGCCTCCCAGGTGGCGCAGCGGTTGAGCGCTGGGCTGTGAAGCTGCCTGCAGACTCCGCAGCACCGGTTCGATCCCCGCCTGCTCCCTGGCCACTCCCCAGCCACTGGAGGAGGGTCCCACATGGCGCGCAGACCTCTTCTGCCGCCCGCTGCTCCCCTCAGCAGTGTACTTCGGTCCCTCTGCCTGTTCTGCTCCCCGCTCTGGCTCTGGTGAATTCTCTCACCCTCCCGCGCTTCTGACTGTACTCAGTGCTTGTATGTATAAATAAATAAATAAATAATAAATCTTAAAAACAAAAACAAAAAAAACCTCCTAAAGGGCCTCCCCGGTGGTGCAGCGGTTGAGCGCTGGGTTGCGAAGCTGCCCACAGCCTCTGCCAGGCGAGGGTCCCACATGGTGCACAGACCTCTCCTGCCGCCCGCTGCTCCCCTCAGCAGTGTACTTCGTCAGTCTGCCTGTTCTGCTTCCCACTGTGGCTCTGGTGAATTCTCTCACCTCCCCACCCCCATGCTTCTGACTGTACCCAGTGCTTGTATAAATAAATAAATAAAATCTTTAAAATAAAAAACCCTAAAGAGATACCCTCTTTTTTTAAAAAAAAGTATTTATTTATGCATACAAAAATTGGGGTACAGCCACATGTGCGGGGGGTGGGGGGTGAGAGGATTCACCAGAGACAGAGTGGGGGACAGAACAAGCAGACTGACTGAAATACACTGCTGAGGGGAGCAGCAGGGTGAGACAGGAGAGGTCTGCTGCGCCATGTGGGTAGCTCCCTGGCCAGCAGGAATACGGGATCGAAATTGTGCTAAGAAGTCTGCAGATAGCTTCACGGTGCTGTGCTTAACCCCTTGCGCCACCAGGGAGGCCCATGAGAGGTGCCCTCTTTGAGCTAAGGGTACACCTCTGGGTGAGGCCACAGTAAGGGGCCAAGAAATTGTACCCCAGGTGGGTCCCATCAGCCCTGACACCCGCTCCCCACGCCCCTGAGTTCTGGAAAGTGTAAGCATGTAGCGACCCCTAGTGGTTGAACAGTAAATCGGTTTACTCAGAATCTCGAACAAAGCAGCAAGCTCAGTAACTTGCATTAAAGAGATCTTGTAAAACTAAACAAACTGACTTTTAAATTGGTTTTGCAATTCCCTACAAATCAAGGGGCGATTATGCTCAGTGTTTTGCCCCCCAGGTAAATGTGAGATCTATTTTAAAGTTGCAAATACCTTTCTTAACGTGCTGTGAACCAGAGCTTCCTGCTTTGGAAAATGCTGTTACAGAGAACTGATTAAAAACAGTGATTCACCTGCACCTCCTCCGCCTCCTTTTATCTTGGTTTGCAATCCTCTGAGGCGTTAATTCCTATTTCACTAAAGCTAATTATCCTGATTTGATGGAGGGGAGACTGACTCCTACTTGTATTCACTTCTTCGGGCCTCAGTTTCCCTCACTGTCAACTGAAGGTGTAGGAACGGAAGATTTTTTTGAGTACTTGCTGCTTTCAAATGCTGATTCTAAAATCCCCGGGGAGACTTCCTGGTTCAATAGCCTGGGGACAGAACACCAGGTAGCTGCAAAAAGAAAGCTTTCGATCCTTATCTGGAAAATGCCAGACAGTCAGTGAATAAAGCAAAATTAGGGCTGCACCTCTGGCCTACACCCTGTACTTCTATGCAAAAATAAAACTTAAAAATCTATAAAGGAAAATTACCATTTTGTGTAAAAAGGGGATCGAGTTGCATTTATATTTGCGTGGGTTTGGACTAAGCCCCCCCCCCCTCTTGGTCCTGCATCAACTCTAAGCACCTGGCCCCATGGCTTCGTCAACCAGTACCTGCCTCTCTACCACCCCATCCCACTGAGAAACCAATTCCAGGATTACCTGTGGCGGCTCAGGAGAGGGGAATGGGGCAAGTGAGGGCAGGAGTAAGGGGGGCCTGTCATCCTGCGTCTTTCTAGGTTTTAAGCTTTTTGCACTAGAGATCATCTTTATTCAAAGTCTTAAATTAACAAGAGCACATTTCTAATTAGAACCAGAGTCCTTCCTAAGACTCACTGTTGATTTCTTGGGAAAGAAAATCCTCTGGTTGGGCCTCCCCAGTGGCACAGTGGTTGAGCACTGGGTTGCGAAGCTGCCCTCAGCCTCTGCAGCACCTGTTCGATCCCCGGCCGCTGGGCGAGGGTCACGCAAGGCGCGCAGACCGCTCCTGCCGCCCTCTGCTCCCCTCAGCAGTGTACTTAGTCTGCCTGTTCTGCTCTCCACTCTGGCTCTGGTGAATTCTCTCACCCTCCCAGGCTTCTGACTGTACCCAGTGATTGTATAAATAAATCTTTAAAAAAAAAAAAAAGAAAAGAAAATCCTCTGGCAAGCATACTATCTCCCCGACCCACCCAGCAAGCTGCCATTTACACTTAGGATTCTGTGTGGCTGAATCTGTCCTCCACCCGTGGCTGTGCCCCACAGGCAGGGTTATCCCTGACCACCTGCCTACTGCCAGGGCCAGCCCCCAGTGCAATGCCTGGCTTATGGTTGGCACTCAATAAATATTTGTGGAAAAGTAATAAAATTACTAACTATCTGGGAGCGTGGAGATGTCCTTATAAAGCAAAATTTCTTTGAATTCTCTAAACGAGCTTGACAAGCTTAGTACTTACTAGAAGAAAGGAATCCAGGGCAAGCCCTAATAATGCTGAACAGATACTGCCCCCGGGGGTCCAGAGGAGTGGAGCTTGGTGTGTCCCCCCCTGCTACCTTGGGGAGTTGGAGGAAGACCCACTGAAGTTGCTGAAATACAAGACTTTTGGCACTTGTAACACCTTATTGTCGGTTTGAGTTCACAAGGAGCCCAGTAGCCTTGCCGTGGATCATGTATATATTTTAAAGCAAAAGTGAAAATTTTCGTGTTAGAAGCCAGATTCTATGAGAGAATAAGGCAGTTTTTCTGCCTCTACCCCTACAGAAAAGTAGCACGGCTGGGGGATCCTTATGGGGGCTCCCCCATGACTGTGTCCTTGCTGAGAAACAGGACCTGATAACCCACAGGTAGGACTTACCATGAGGTTTTATTATTGGCAGTAATTCCGTGAGGATATTTCTTGTGGCAAAAAAGTTTGTCTTCAGTGTCATCTCAGCTTGAATGTCAAATGGCGTTGGGTCATCAACTTTCAAAAGAGAAGGAAACAAAACAAAGGCATGCATTTCCCCCTGAAATTCATACACAAAGTGGAACTTGTCTCTAAAAGGAAAAGCAATGTTTAAACCACCAGGTCCACAGCTCTCAAACTGGAAGTGCGTGTCAGGATCACCTGCAGAGGTTGTTAAACACAGCTTTTGGGGACCCTTCCCCAGAGTTTAGGGCCGGGAAGGACGCCCCAGCTCCAGAATTTGCATTTCCAAGGAATCCCCTGGTGCCACAGCCACACCTTCCAAGAGCTTTGACGATGGCTATTCAAAGGCGGCACCGGAGGCACAGGGGGTTCTGATAAATTGCAGGTGCTGATTCACCTCGTCTGCACGGAGGAGTAAGTCATCCATCCACCTGCCACCCTCCAGCAGCCTGGGTGTACAGGCAGGTGCACAGGGCTGGTGGTGCCCAGGGTGCGGGGCACGAGGACTTGTGCTCAGCAACAGTTCATTTTACTCCTTTCTGCCTCTGAGGTTTCTCTTCCCCTGGGTTGTGAGTGAACCTAGCCTGTTTCTTTCTGCGCCAGCTCATGGCAGCTGAATAACTCTCTCAATCCTGTAATAGAATAAGCAATTGCCTTGGGGTTCCCCCCCCCTTTTTTTCTTTTCAAAGATGCCGCTTAAAACCACGCTTAGAAGTTTGCTAACACACTAGTTCCCTGGAGGACGGAGCCACGACTGGCTTCCTCTCCGCCAGAGCCTATCAAAGCTTTCCATTAAACAAAGTCTCAAATCCACTAATGTGCAAGTGCGCCCTGATCGGGTCTCCGGGCTTCATTTCCTGTCCCGAGCAGATGCCTCCTGGCATCTCTGAATACGCCTTTTCAAAGAAAGCGAAAGCCCAAAGTGGAGCTTGGGAACCTTCGCAGAGAGCTAATATTTTTGGCATTAGAAAGCTGATGAGTTTAGCAGGGCGTGACCCCTCCCAAGAGGCGGGTTTCTCTCGCGCACTGCAGCCTCTGAGTGTTCCGGGCGCGCCCTGGCTGCGCACAGGCCCTCACAGGCCGGCCAGCGGGAGGGGATCGCTGTGCCCAGCGACCCGGCCGGCCTTGCGCTAAGCGAACAGCTCCGGCCGCTCCACCGAAAGCCAAAACCCACTGCTGGAGGCGAGCCCTGGGCGCGTCGCGAGGGCTTGGCGCTGCGCTCCCCATCACTCCGGAGCGCGCCTGCAGGCCGCCTGCAGCTGGCTGCCCAGCACCCCCGGAGCGCGCGGGGGACCTCCCGCCCCAGCACCTACACTTGAAGGCGATGCCAGCGTTGTTGACCAGCACGTTGAGCCCCCCGTACTCCTTGCGCAGGAAGTCGCGCAGCGCGCGGACGCTGCCCGGGTCGTCGATGTCCAGCGGGTGGAAGCGCGGGCTCAGGCCCTCGGCCTGGAGCTGCTGCACGGCCGCCCGGCCCCGCGCCGCGTCCCGCGCCGTGAGCACCACGTCCCCCGAGAACTGGCGGCACAGGGCGCGCGCGATGGCGAAGCCGATGCCCTTGTTGGCCCCGGTCACCAGCGCCACGCGGGTGTAGGACGACATGCCGGGGCGCGCGCGGGCCGGGCGGGAGCGAGGATCCGCCTGCGGGCCACCGGCGGCGCGCGCTGCGGAGGCCGCGCCACAGCCAGACGCCGCGCGGACTTGGGTTCTGGGATCCCGAGCCTCGACTCCGGGAGGACGAGGCCCGGGGCCTCGGTCCCTCCCCTCCAAGGAGGGGCCGTCTGTTCCCGAAGGTTTCGTAACGCCCCACTCCCGGCCCGGCCCCTCCCCGCGCCCAGCCTGCCCTGGACGCCGCGGGAGCCCCGGCGCGCGCTGCTCTTGGGGAGATTGTCTCACCCCAAAAGCAAAACCGGACGGTGATGAGTCTATGAGTTCAGAGAATGAGGGCAGTTTGGTGGAAGAAACTATCGCAGGAGATGCCCAAAAGGACAAAAGCAGGGGGAAGGGCGTGCGCCCATCATCCGTGGCAGGCTGGGAATGTCTGTCTTTTCCTAAGATGCAATGAAATTATTTAGATTCCTGCTGGGGACTCGGAGCCCCTAGCTTGGGTAGGAGAAACTAAAGAGACGGGATTCGAGAAATAAGGTCCTAGGAGTAGATTTACAGGTGTGGGGAGGGCGCAAAGCTCTGCGTGACTCCAGTGCGCCCTCAAGCGTGTCCATGAGGTGCTCGTTGCGTGCCAACTCCTGCTGGATGTTTTCATTTAAACCTTACTGACTCTTGGGGGTGCGGAGAGCCTGGTTTAGGTTTATCCAAAAAGAAGACAGATAATGCTTTTTCCCATGGTGACACCCCTGTGTACCCACAGGGTGCAGCTGGCAGCGAATCCAAAGGCAACCTCCAAAGGCGTGTCAAGGTGTGGACTGCTCATTAGAGCTCCCCACCCACCCTCTCTCGTGTATTATCCGGGTGTTTGATTAATGACTTTTAGGTTTACGCAGAACCGCGTTCTCATCGTGACTCAGCATTCCCCGAGCAGACCTGGCTAAGGTGCGGGCGTCTCTCACCTGGAATGTACCTTCCCAGCAAGCCCACAGGTGAGGTCAGGGACGGGCACCTGCTCTGGTCCTCTACTGTGATGCAACCTATGTTCCGCTCCCCCCATCTTACTTGGAACTCTATTTTAAACATATAGGACTATTGCAGTTTTCTGTGTCTTCGCTTCTTCTCAAGCGAGCTTCATTTGCCTTTTTAAAAATATGCATATAAAAAAATGCATGTCATCTAAGTTCACTCCATCGCTGAGCAGTTGTCACAACGTGCCCCATTAATCCTTTTAATCTTGGAGGTGATGTTTCCTCTTTTATTCCTGATATTGGTTTGTGTCTTTTATGTTTTTTTTGATTTGTGTCTTTTATATTTTTTTCTTGAACTATCTGGCCAGATAGAGGTTAGCAATTTTATTGATTTTTTTTTCCTCAAGGAGGCAACTTTTAGCTTCATTAATATTTTGCTCTTTTTTATTCTGATTTCTGTTGTAACCTTTATTTCCTTTCTTCTGCTCACTGGTTCTATTGGTTCTTTTTCTAGTTTTCACCATGGAAACAGAGGCCATTGCTTTGCGATCTTTCTTCCGTTCTAATACAGGCATTAAGGGCCATTAAGAACTGCATTAAGAACTTTAAGAACGACATTCATGGCATATTATACACTTGGTATGTTGTGTTTCTTATACTTGGTATGTTCGATTTCAATTGGCTTAAAATACTTTCTAATTAACTTTTGGATATCTTCTTTAACCAACAGTATTTAAAAGTACATTGTTTAGCTTTACTCTTTGGGAGTTTTCCAGATTATCTGTGCATCTTTCTTTTTTTTTTTTTTAATTTTATTTATGCATACAAGAACTGGGGTACAGGCCAGAGGTGTGGGGGGGTGAGAGGAGTCACCAGAGACAGAGCAGGGAGCAGAACAGGCAGACTGACTGAAATACACTGCTGAGGGGAGCAGCGGGCGAGACAGGAGAGGTCTGCTGCACCATGTGGGTTGCTCCCTGGCCGGCGGGGGGATTGAACTCGTGCTGCAGAGGCTGCGGAAGCTTCATAGGTTGTGTCTTAACCCCTTGTGCCACCAGGGAGGCCCCCTGTGTTTATTTATTTCTTAATTCCATTGTAGTCAGAGAACAGACTTTGTGGGACTTGAATTCTTTTGAAAAAGTTTTAAAAGCTGGGGGAGAGATATTAAAGCATGTTTTATGTTGTGATACGAAGAAAAGTAAAAATTGGTGGAGAGAAAAGGAATGAAATGTGGGGGAGGCAAGTACAGATGGGGGGTCGACCTGGAAGATGGAGTGTGGGTCCAGTTGCAGGCTGTGGGATGGCTCTTCTAGTGGGCACTGTTTTCTCTTTGAAGGGTAAGCCATTTGGGATCATTGGCAAGAGGGATGAGTCTGGGAGCGCTGAGCAGAGAAGAGCCACCTTGCAGAGAGTACATTTGTTAGGGAATCAGGCTGCACTGACTCACAGTTGAGGGCCCTTTTAGATCTGTGGTCACAAACATCAAGAGTGCGTCAACCTCCTGCTATACTCCGCCCCACCCCTTCACCCCCAGTGCAGCCTGGGAGGCGACTGGCCAGTGAGGAGGCTGGAGGGCTGGCATTTTGCCAGGATGTTTGCAGGGGAAGCTTCCTGTGTAGCGCCATGACCTCTAAGATGGGAGAAAGGACACAGGAAAGGGCCTGTTTTTAACGAGGGGGGAACCGTAGGGTCCCTGGAATGGAGGCCTTTGAGGGCACGTGGCCAGACCAGAGTCACAGAAGACAGCAAACAGCTAAGATGGAATTGTAGGGCTTCAGAATCCCTAGAATTCTGTAAGGAAACCAAGGGTTAAGGCCTTGGGGTACTCACTCACAGCAGTTAGGATTACGGAGATGCCACCTCCTTAAAAGCAGGGCCCTGTCTGGTTTACTCAAGGAAGTTAATGCCTCTCAGCCACCCCGTGCGACTTACTCAGAGGCAAAATGTCTTACCATCCGTTTCAGTATGGCTAGTTAACCAGGCCCCGGGCGCCCCTAACTGGTCCAGCAGCCTGTGCTGGAGATGGGAGGTGTCCCTGGATTCTCTTGGTGGGCCCAGGTCACCCCAAGGGGCCTGGTTAGAAGGAGGCAGGGGTCAAACTCAGGGAAGGAGAGGCTGTAAGGAAACCACAGTGACGCCGTCCTGTTTGGGCACCGCCTTAGGCCTGAGCCCGGTACCTGCCCAGCCCCAGGGCCATGGCCAGCTTCCTCTTGTGCGCTCACCCCTCGGGACAGTAGTGCTGGGGTCCCTCTGGCATTGAGGACCCCTGCTTGTAAGTTTCCCAGGTAAATGGTAAGTGTGATGCATGGACTTGCCAGCTTCATTCCTCTTTTTTTTTTTTTTTAAGATTTATTTATGCATACAAGAACTGGGGTGCAGACCAGAGTTGGGGGGGGTGAGAGGATTCACCAGAGACAGGCAGATTGATTGAAACACACTGCTGAGGGGAGCAGCAGGGGAGACAGGAGAGGTCTGCTGTGCCATGTGTGTAGCTCCCTGGCTGGCAAGGGAGCCAGCTCTCGACAGCTTGATAGCGCTGTCTTTTACCCCCACACCACTGGGGAGGCCCCAATTACCTTATTCTTGATTTCAGGGGAACATCTTCGTTCCACAACGGCTCAGATGTGAGCCTAGAATGAAGGGAGGAGTGTTGCAGGCGGAGCAGGGCCAGGAGCCCAGGTAGGCACGCAGCCTCTGGAAGCTGGAAAAATCAGGGCTGGGTCCTTCTCTGGAGTCCCCAGGGAAAGGCGCTCTGTTGACCCTTGACCTCCCGCACTGTATGAGGATAACCTGCCAGAGCAGCGATGACGTATCCCGAGGGTCCCACCTCCAGTGCCCTGGAACCCAGCACAGCGTCACACAAGGATTCGAACACGAACAGGCCCTAAGAAAAGGACCGGTTTGGGGAAAAATACTCATCTATTCTTGGGGGTTGAAGAAGAATGAACTAAAGGGAAAAACCCGGCCGGTGGATGCGTGCTACGTGACAGCAGAAGTGATGGGCGCGCTCCGTGCCTGGGCCAGACCCGGCTGAGCCGCCGCGGTGCCGCCTTGATGAGTTTGGTCTGGCGTTTCAGAGCTGCCATCCTGTCCCCGCGGGCTTCGCCAATTCAGTGAGACTATGAACCTCTGGTGCTTCTTGAATTAGGGTAAGAGCCCAGGTTTTGCAGCAATGGTCCATGTGTAGCCATGCGCTCATCCACCCGCATCCCCCGCTGAGTTTCTGTGCCCCTGTTAGGCGTGTTTAGGAATGAAGTTTGGGCGGGGGGCGGGGGGGGGCATGGGAAGCTTTGGGGCTCTCCCGTCTTTGCTGAGTCCAAGCTACCGGGTCTTGGGCAAGATTCTCTATCTCTTGGGGCCTCAGCTTGCCTGCTGGTAAAATGGGAACAATTACAGTCCTTGCTTTCGGGTGCCAAAGGCTTAAGTGAGTCCCTGTTACAAAAGTCACAGGGCATGGCCGCACGTGGGCACACTGCAGAGATGTCCGATGTTGTGAGTGTCGCCAGGAGGGGACTTCCTGGAAACCGGCACATTTACTTGCTCCCGGGCTCCTAGGGAGTTTCCCCGGGCAGTGCTGGGCACCACTGCCATCCTGCCAGTGTTCATGTGCCAGAGGCCGTGACAGACAGAGAAGGAGACAAGGGGAAGCTGCCTGGAGCCTCACCTCTGAGGAGGCGCTGCTGCCTCCAGGCTCCGTGGCTTCTTACATCATCTGCATTGTTGAAGGCAGGCCCAGGCAGGATGGAGCCAGTTGTCTTTCTGGAAGATTAGGGCCAGGTTCCTGAGTCAGTGAGGAGGTCAGCTGGTGGTTTGGTGGCCGCCCTCCTCTTCTCCATCCCCAGCGCCTCTGCCCCTGGCCTCCCCAGGGGTGCACGAGAACGTGCTGTAGGGGCTGTGAGTGCTGCAAAGGTCCTGGGGAGCAGGCACACCCTGGCACGTCTGTCTCAGTCCACGCCACCAGCCTTTCCCGTGTACTGTGTGCCCGAATGCGGTGCGTGGGGTGGGCCAAGGTCACTGTAGAGCGTGGC